TTGGGCAATCTGGCCCCTTGGGCTAGGGAAGGAAAAAAAAAAAAAAAAACTCCTTAAGCTCGAATAACGGAGGATTTTAATAGTAGCTGAGAAAATGAGAGTTGAAGAAATTCTAAAGAAACTAAGCGATTTTGTAACTGATAGAAAGATGTAATGGAATACCGACGTAATGGGGTTATTTCTAAGCGTGACATGTCCTTTTTATTAGAAATACGAAAACATTTTAAAGGCTTTATAATAAGTTTGGTTTATTTGAGTAAAAAGCTCTCGAGAGCTCTCTGTCTAAGAGTAAGGATACCTTCGTGGAGGATTTTGTAAGGTAAACTGGCTCGTAACCATGCTACACAGGGAGAAAACCGCGAAAGCGCCTATACAGCCAGGCCCTTTGCCTGGAGTCGAACCTCGATCGAATTGTCATTTCTGCGATCACTCAGCTGTTGGTAGATCCTTAAAAGCTATGGGAAAAAATTCTGTGTCAGTAGCAATCGATTTCAGATAATTGAGTTCATGGGAGGGCAAAGATTCTGAAGAACAAACCTCACGAAAACACATAAACGTAAAGATATTTTTGTTTAGCTTGATAAATAAAATGTGTGTGAATGTACCTTCCTTGATTATTTCATTATGAATTGTGTTAAATGTATATATGTCATAAATACATAAAGAAATATTGTGTTAAACCTCTTACAGATATTGTGCTAAACCTCTTACACGTATTGTGTTAAACCTCTTGTACAAGGATGCAATTTTGAATATTGTTGAGGCCTTGCTTTGACTCCAATTTACTTTTTCTTTAGATGCTTTAAGTTTATATTATATATGCCTATATATGAGCGTGTGTATGATATTTTTGTAATTGGTGACCAGATGACTTGAGGATTTGAAGATAGCAATATTTTAGGGATGCGTGGGAAGGGAGATGCTAGTTATTTTTTAATCATGGTGAGATGGTCCTAGTATTTTCCAGTTACAGCATTTACTATTGAAAGAGGTACTGCAGTTAGACGGGATCCAACTATATTGGGGCTAATAATTGAGGCAGCAAACTGGAAAAGGAATATCTTGAACGTTGAATCAGATGCGGTAGGCCAATTGTCTGGCCAGAAATTGCTCCTCTAGACATCTTTCTTTGGGAGTATGTCAAACATGTGGTATATTCTGGCCAGACGATAGAGGACCTACAAGAACTGTAGGACCATATTTAGAGTGCTATTGCTTCGGTAACCAGTATCTCAGATATAGCAGAACACGGACAAAGAGATTAAACACAAGTTGAACATTCTCCGTAGAACAAATATATTTCGTGTGGAACATGCTGTGTTGTAACTACTTTCAGAGACAGGGAAAAGTGGACGGAGCACCAGAACTTTGCACATGCTCACACAGACAATTAGAGACAATTAAGACGATTAGAGACAAAGGGCAGCCGTAACAGATTCGATACAGACTCTAGTTTTTATGAATTTGGAGTACTTATAAAAATTGATAGCTCCAAACATGCTGTATATGCTTCGCCTAAAACATGCTGTATATGCTTCGCCTAAAACATGCTGTATTGAACATGTCCCCTCCGAACATGCTGAACTTTCCCTAAGACGATCATGCAATGTTTCAGATGATTCTGGTCTGCAAAAGTGATAGTGATGAGGTAATGTTTAGTACCGGACACGAATTATAAAATTACAGGCCCACGACAAAACTTGAACCACTCCTTCTCCCCCCTCTTTCTAGTTCCTAACATAGTAGATAATACTAATGTAAAGTTCATCTCTTATAAAGTATTTCAAGAAATAACTTTATACTAATTCGGTATACTTTCATTCTATTCGGTATACTTTCATTATTTAAAGAGAAAGTATATTTTACCTCTTTGTGCTTTTGTTTTTAATTTCACTTTAACGTGCATTTTATAAAACATAATCTTACACATTTGCACATTTTTAAATGAGGAACTTGTTTTCCCCTTTTTTCCGTGAAAGAAACGAAAGAAGGTAAATTGTTTATCAATTTAGTAATAAAGTGTATAAATAAAATATTTCCTTTACAGACGTGGAAGAAGGTATTTATGGCTTCACTTTCTTAAAAATTAATTTTAGTCCTTTTCGTAAATAATAATTTAATAATTTGTAATTTCAAACTAAACCTTCAAGTTGTAGGGTTTATATTTATTTTAACTAACATTTATTTTAAGCTATCTTTTCTGTCAAGCCTTTACTTTCCCCTAGAATTGCCAATGCCACAGTATATAAATTGTAGTAGAACGCGAAGTATATTCAAATTTTAGAAGAAGTAAGTTGAGTTTAAATAGAAGGGAAACGAGTTTGTAAGTGTAAGTAACTTCTTGAATCGCTACCGTGAAGGTTGCTAGGTAGAAATTTAAGAACTGCGCGTTTCGGCCTGTGTGCCTATCTCGACAGTTCGTTGAATCTTTCAACTGCTTAATCAGTAAGTCTTGCTGAATCTCAGCTGTATTTTAGAACGCTGTTTAAGTTAGTCAAACGATTTTTAGAGCCTCGTAGGTAGTGATCTCAGTTGTTTATTCATCCTGTCATTAATTTTTAGTTTCACAGTTCTGTTTTTCTTGAACCGCCGGGTCGGCGTAGTTTGTGAGCGTCAAGTGAACGCAGCTGTTATTTCTAAAGTGGAATAAAAAGGGATTTAAACCCTTCTTACGAGTTTGTGTAATTTACAGTTCATAGCAGTCACTACCATAGTTGCTGACAAGTTGGGGCCACGCAACACTACAAAGTAATTAATTATTATATAATTATTGAGAATTAAAGAAACGACATTTTATATTCGTGTAAGAAGATGACAAATGAAGCGCAAACTTTTTTTTGTTTGTTTGTTTTTTTTGAGGAGGGAAGTTTCTGTAGATTCCATGTAGAATTTATTTACATTATTTATTATAAAAATTTCAAAGAATCCTATTTATTTTATAAACATCAGAAAGGGAGGATGAACTTTGAGTTTGGTCTGCATCAATCTACTTTATAGAGATCATTAGATATTTTGGACCCGCGAACAAAAAAATGAACTATGCTTTGGCCGGGATTCGAACCACGTATCCTACATTTGTCAGCAGAACGTGTTAACCCTTTGCGACACAGTGTGTCCGGTGTGGACACACCTAAAAATTTCCTTCTGTACGCACAGAAAAATTGAATGAGAAAGGATTTATACGTTACTATAGGTTACTCTGAACCTTCTTTATTTATAGTAGATGGCAGCTCAACACAAACCAGTCCATATATTTTAGCCATGTTTAGTTTTTTAAGACCCTCATTTTTCAAAGAAGTCTTCCAGATTTTTTTAGGGTATAAAAGGAATTGTTTGAAAAGAAATTTCTCTGTTATTTTTTTGGCTGTATGCTAATCTCCTTATTCTATATTAGTTTTAAATTTTTACCTTGAACTCTTGCCTAAAATCAAACGGCGAACCCTAGGTGTGCCCAAACCGGGCTCACGGATAATCTAGGACAACTGAGAGTCTGTATTCTTTGTTTCTCCTCATCTCATCGGTCAGTTCATGGACAACAATGCTCGTTTCAGCACTTTTTTTGAAACTCTTTCAATCAGTGTGCCACTTTGGGCCCACCCACAAAATTAAAACGATAAGCGCTATCTTCACAAAATTTTACTTGTGTATTCCTCTAAGCCTAATTAGACTGCCTACTTTTTTTTTATAAATCAAAACTCCGACTTTAAAAGGTAGCGTGCCGGATAGGGTTAACCAGTTACACCATGATAGCACAAAAAAGGAACTGGAACGACTTTTTAATCTCTCATCAAAAGGGGACTGGGGAGAGGCAGGATAGCGAGTCGGCTAAATCTAGGCGGTGGCGAATGATTGTCCATCACATTTTAACTTGAGCACTACTATACAGACCATTAGATGTTTCGAAACAACTGCTAGAAGAACGCGATAACTAACCACTTACACGAGAAGAGAACTAACTGCGTAATGTAATAATTACGTATCATATTAACTTTTGATAAAATTACTTTTCTAAAACAATACTTAAACTTTGAAATAAACGATTTACTGCTGCTTAAATAATATTGTTGCGAAATGTCCAGCCGCGGTGAGGTAGCTTCCCCGCAAGGCGGGTTTAGGGTTGCCAGAAAATGACAAAGGAAGGCAGGCTTACCTTATTTGGCGTAAAATCACCCATTTGGCGATAAGATTGGCGATATGCCATAGACGGATGAAGAACCTACTAGAACAAATTTTTACCGGTTTGTTTCAGAATGTTGTCAAAAGCAACCCGAAACGCTATATAAATCTTGCCTGCATGCAGAGTAACAGTAGTGTGTCTCGTTAGAATCTCTTAGTCGATGAGTCTAGTAGTGTTGATCAGCAGTCTAGTGTCGAGGTATCTCGTCACTGTATCGCGATTTGGTGCATCGAGAGAGTGCAACGTGAATTGTAGCGTGGAGAGGCTCGAGAGTACGTTGAGTTCCGAGAACGACCGAGCCGAGTCGGGAGCTGTACTCTAGTGCTTTTCCTTGAAACTGTCTTCACCGTTATAGCCTGATAGCCTGTATTGTTTCAGTGTGTTTGTCGTTGTTTCTCGAAGACTGTAAACGTTTTTTGGAGCTGTCCCGAGTAATACTGGCTAATAAATTGTGTTTTCATTCCTCATCAAGTGTTGTCGTTAATCACGCGAAACCCACGAACCTGTACAGAACTGTATCAATATGAAATTTGGAGGCAATCCCGAAGGCCAAGGATCTGCGAATTCAGTTGAGATAATTTAACCACGACCGTTTCCTCAAGATGACCGTTTTGAAAATGACAAGTATTTCTGAAAATATAAGCACTAATAGTGAACATTACATAAGATGCTTACACCTACAGAAGACCGAAATTACGTAGACCCATGGATGATTATCTTAGAAACAGTTTACTGTATCCATTAACATATAATAATAACGACATTCGTTATTTTACTTTATTTGCTTATTGTTGAATGTTTTCCATGGTCTTTTTTATTGTAGGGGCAAAGATTAATTCAGGATTTTATAATTCCGCATTTGAACAACAAAACCTTTGATGATTTACTTATGTGGGATTCAGAGGACCCCAGCATTTTCAAGATTATGTGGTTGCACAAAGCTAAATCATCATGGACATCTAAAGATGCAGCTGTTTTCATAGTAAGTCCAGCTTCTATCTATTTAAGTAAATTTTAGTTTTGTTGTACATAAAGGATGCATGAAACTAAATGTGTCATCTAATTGATAATTTGTAACTGATTTATAACTGAAAGTGCGATCATCTATTGAAGATAGTAGTATTTTATTGTATTAATTAGGGTTGCCAGAAAATCACGTGAATGTCATTTCTCTGATGGAACGGATAACTGCGTAGTGGATTTTCTATAGAACTTTCCTCGCATTTGCTTTGCGCTCGCAGAAAACTATGAAAACCCAAAGAAGAGCATTAAGTCGCCGGAAGCATATACTTTAAGTGAGATTAACGCAGTAATACTAATGAAGCCTCTCACGGCGGCCACTTCCTTGAAACAACTACCTCGAACAACTTGTTTTATTCCAAATCGTAATTTTGTTGTTCCAAATTCTATATGTAAGCAGTGTTCCTACATTAATACTTAATTCAAAACTTGATTAAGAAAAAATATTTTTTTCATACCCTATATACAGATTCATGATTAAGCGAATCCATATATTTGTTGCGTGCGTACGGGTTCGTTACGAAATGAATGCACAAATCCGATGAAAAATGAACAAAAATTTATTATTATCCCAACAAAAATGCTTAACATTTTCTCAAATTATCATTGCAGTATTACAATATCTCACAGTAGTTATCTTTTAACTACTCAAATGTCCAGTAGAACGTAATTCAAAACAGCTAAAGAAACGCTAATCCGCGAATTCGCTACAATCAACAAGAGCAGTTTTCTAACAAAACTCTAAACAACACAAACTAAGCTAAAATCACTGACTAATTAAACTGAGACTTTTCCTCCTTTTATAAGATTTTTAAATCACGCGAGAATTTTCCAGTACTTTCTCGAAATCACAAAGAGATATTTATTTATTAATAAAACCATTTAATTTATAATTCAATTAATATTAGCTATTTAAATACCAAATTCGTAACAATATGATATCTATAAATCAAAGGATATGGCTTAATATGCCATTCCCATCTAATGTCTATAATCTATCTAACCTTCCTTTCCTTTAGATGGGGCGCTACGATCGATGTATGACGTCACATTTCTTTACCCCTCCTCTCCTGAATTCGTACAGTTTACACAGCACTGGAGAATAATAATTAAATCTAAATAAATAAAAATACTTGCAATTACTTACTGTTACAAATTTTAAAAAAATTCTTCTTTCAACATCCACTAAAATATAAAATAAGATATATTAATCAAAAATAAAAGAATTAGTAAGTAATCAATAAGTTAAAAATTGTTTTGATATATTGCTGGAAGTGAATAAAGTTCTTACTTCTTTCTTATCTTCTACTGGATATAAGAGTTGTACGGATCTCTTCAATTGTGCTTTGTATGTTTTAATTAAACTCAAACGAAAACGTTGATCTCGTTCTTCTTACAAGTCTACTGTCACACCAAGCTCCCATAACACTTTGGACGTTGTAGTCCTTCTAAAGGGACTTCCAACTTTTAATTCTTTACTATACTTGGGAGTGTTCTAATGGTGGGCTCTTTTTAAATCAAGCAGATATTGTTTGTTCCGGCTTTTCCAAAAAAGTTACAGAATTCTAGTTTGGTGCACCTGGCTTTTCATCAGATTATATCTACTCGAATTCCGAGTGAAAAAAAGACACTGAAGGCTTAGAAATTGATTTAATTTGTTGTGGATGCTGTGCTGAGTCAATATATGGGATGGTAATTCCAGAATGAATTAAGCATAATTTAATTCACAGTAATAAAAGAAGACGTTGCTTTGTTGCTGCGAAGATTAATTTCTCTAGATTGACAACAAATCCACTATTCTGCTAAGTTTCCAATGTAAACAAATATGACTGCTATAGTAAAAAATTAGGCTTAGCCGCACTTAAGCAACTTTTAAATTGTTGATAATTCTATAACTATAGCATGCAAGTTAATTAAAGCAGGGTTGCCACGCTACCTGGAAAACCGGGAGAACCGGGAAAAGTCAGGGAATTCGAAAATTGACCAAAATATTCAGGGAAAAGTCAGGGAATTTAAGTATTTTTGTCAAAATCTGGAAAAGTCAGGGAAGTTCATACAACGATCCCGCCAAAAAAAGCGATTTTTGCGCCGACGTCGGAAGAGGTAACTTTTTTGGCGAATTATGTATCACGTGAGTGTCATTCGGGTAGCTGGCATAGAGCCAATTTTCGCAGCTCCAATTTGATTGTCTTTTAGAAAGGCAAAGCAACTTTCCCGCAACTTTTGGTTTCCAGTATTCTAGAGAATCGCATGTGCAGTGCATGAACTAAAGAAAGTACCTGTTCTCGTATAAAACAAAATGGGTTTAATCCTAGTATACGGTACTATGGAGGTTAGAATCAAAGAATATGTATTGTAAAGAAGGAAAACCTCTCTGCAACTGACGTGGCTGTGGCTTCGTTCCATCATAGAGGGAAACAGCTGTGCATGTCTGATATATCTGTCACCAAAACTCGAAACCGGTGTCGAAGTTCGAAGGTCACGTTATCAAGAGTTCATAAAATGAATATCGTTTTAAAATTTCTTTCTTTAACCACTTGCGCTAAAAAGACGTGCCACGCATGTCAAGATGCCTTTTGTCTCAAACCGCGAGCGACCGTGAACACACGTCGATAAGCATTTATCGCAAAAATGAAAATAACGTGGTGCACACTTTTTATTCTCGAGTTACAGCTCTGGATTGCACTCGCAGATGCGGAGCGGCGTAAATGAGCACTTAACCGCTTGTTATATTGTAGCGCACGGCACCGCAATCGTGAAGTTTAGTCTTAGCGCAAGTGGTTAAACTCTAAAGGAACAGAAAATATTTTTTGGCGCAAGTAAATTAATTCATGGATTAGTTATTTTCAGAGGAAAAAAAAAAAAAAAAAAAAACTACGAAAATAAGTTTTTAAAATTATTGCGAAAAATCCAAGAAGAAACGTCCTTTGATAAAACGTTTCTTCTTGGATTTTTCGCAATAATTTAATGGCCCACCAGCGGCCGAGCGGTAAAGTCGCTGAACACTGGTAGTTCGGTCCGAGGTTCGAATCCCGCGAACGGGCTGGCTGCATGGGTGTTTTCGTGGTTTTCCCCATGTGTAACGTGTATACGAGCCAGTTTCCCTTAGAAAGTCCTCCACGAAGGCATCCCTCCCCTTAGGCAGATAGCCCTCGTGTGCTTTGCCATAATTAAATACACACACACACATACATACACACGCAATAATTTAAAAACGGATTTTCGTAGTTTTCTTTTTGTCAAAGAGCGTTTCTTCTTAACACGTGTTTCTCAATTTCCTGTACACATCGCGGAGAGGGAAATTCTGACCGCCAGGTTCCGTCGCCAATCCCTTGGAAAATTTTCCCTCCGCATTCTAGCGCGTAATAGCATTTTACTTGTATGGAACATTTTCTTCTTTACATAGACGTTCTTTGGTTAGAATAATATGGATTTGGCGACATCTTGATGCGCAGTAAACGGGTCATTTTGGTCTGGCGACAATTTCAAAATCGAGCCAAAGCCTTACCGTATACTAGAATTTTACCGCAAAAATCTTTTTAAACCATTTTTTTTTCTTTTTAATAAATACCTTACCTTGCCATTTTGCAGTAAATAAAAAAATAGTAATCAGTCTCTCGGCTAGCCATGTAATATAACTATATTCGCTAAAATATAGATGTTATTCTAATTCAATTTTTAAGTAATTATTTTTATGTTATTCATATAAGTAATGTTGCTTCTTCCCTCTAAATTTATTTTTATTAGTAAATAATATTCCAAATTCAGGAAATTTTCTCTGGCACAATCTGAAATAATATAGCAGTATGATGACATAACCATCACGAAATTTAATGCACATATTTTTTCCTATGTATGCTGCAAATAAATAAAATATCTCAATTTATTAAAATAGATTCTTTCTCTCGTTTAGCTGCAGAATGCTTGCAAAAAAAGCCTTATTTTATTCCAGATTGGGAAGATTCTAATCTCAATCTTCAGTATTGAAAACACACTTTAATTATATTTGTGTTTTCAAGTGTTAAGGTTTTAAGAACATACTCACGCAATTAAATTTACCTAAAATCTAACCTAACTATTAGCATTGCGTTGTGATTTTATAGGACCGCATTAGCATCGTGTTGAACTGGTGATGATATGAGTAATAATTAAATAAAACTACATTGTTATCCATATATATATCTTAATTTTATAAGTTTCTTAAGTGGAAAACTAAACAAAATATCAAACAAAGTATACAAGAATAATTAAGAATAAATGTCCTCTGGGATTTATTGAATAATTAGTGAATTTGCTACCAATACAAGTATACCAAATTAATTACCTCTTAGCACAGCCAACGTACATTACGCGGATAGACTGGAATTTTCTTGAAACATATCTGGAAAACCTGGAAAAGTCAGGGAATTTCATTCTCCTGTTTGAGTGGCAACCCTGTTAAAGGCATAAAAACCTTAACCAGAAGGTAAGAACCAATCATTTTTAAGGCAAAAAATGCACAATTTACAAACATATAAGAATAACGAAACTGAACTCATATATATATATACATGTATTTATATACTTTTGGTGCTGCCAATTGCAACCAAAACAGCAGATGCACATCTACATGTTATAGCAGTCCCACATACAAAATTTCAACGTTCTGAGGCTATTCGTTTTAGAGTTATGGAGATACATACATACACAAGTACGTACAGACGCCACGAAAAAAAAAATCTCTTCTGAATCCATTTTAAATCAGTTTTGTAATTCGTTTTGGGAAAAAGAGTCTTTTATTCTGTCCTTACGTGCCGATGTCAAGCAAAAACATCGTTAAATTGCATTCGTCAGCAATCAAAATTGATATTTTCGTTGAAATATGGTACCCAGAATTTTTCGTGATTACAATACTTCTTTTAATTCGTACAAGGAAGTGAAAAGGATTTAATTCTTTTTAAAACATTCTTTCTTTTGCATCACTTCGAAAGTAGAAGTAGTTAAAGTCAGGAGCAAATTTATAAAAAATTATCTTTATCTTAACAAGCAGTTGTAGACAGATGAAGAAATGAGATAAAAATTAAAACTTTATCACGACGACAGCCAAATGTGGCCAGGTATTATTATGGAGAAGGAATTAACAGCTCGGTTTCATTTATTCTATTTGGTTTGCTTTTATTTATTAAAAAGTCATGTATTCTTATTAGTAAGGAAGTCCTGTGTCAACACATATATAGGTATTTCAAAAGCAATGCAACAAAATTTAAGGGGTTATACGTTACTTCAAATTAAATGCTTTTTATCACAGAAAGTGCGATCCCACGTTAAGCAGCTTTAAGCGTTAGAAAGTGTTTTCTTTCTCGTACGTAGTCTTCCACAACTCAAAGATCCTACGTTTCACGACCTATTTAACAATGCATTATAGTATCCGGGACTTTTTTGAGAAACGAGATTCTGGTAACACTGGTTTAAACGGGAGGATTCATAGAAAAAACAGCTGCGCAGGAAGCGAAGTCCCGCCTAGCTACGGAAACGATGTACCGGCTACGCGGGATTTTTTGAAGCCTCGCCGAAAATATTTTGGCTGCAGCTCTGTTCCGGGTAGAGATCAACCAATCAGACGAAAGTTCTGCTTCTGAAGGATCACGTGATCCCAATCTGAGCGATAATTGATTGCTGGTTGGCATTCAAGTCTTTTTAGTAAGTGAAAATGGCTAACCTAGCTACGTAGGTTTTGTGGAAATGTGCGAGTTCTGAGAATTGCCCCTTTCGATGGCCAGTCCCTCGTAGCGGAAACATATGTGACTGGGACTTACACTGCATGAACCATGAATCTGATTATTTACCGAATATCGAGCGAAGCGTGATTTTCAGGTTTAGTGAAAAGCAGATCAATGAAGACACGTGATATAATGAAGTCCGGAGCTGAGATTCTCTGAGAAGATTGATGGAGAAATGAGATAAAATTAAACTTTATCACGACGATAGCCAAATGTGGCCGGGTATTATCATGGAGAAGGAATTAACAGCCTGGCTCTGCGTATTCTTGACGTACACGACGACCACGATAAATTTGCCAGAACAGTATTCATTGCTGTTCTTTCTGGCTAATATCTTCTTCAATTTTTCAATGTTTTTTCACAGCGATAAGTCACAGGTCTACCTCTTCGAACATCATTTTAAACGAAACGAATTCCACTCCGAAAACATACCCGTATACAAAGCTAGGGCTTCAACCCTGTAAACTTCTTTCAGCATGCCATACCTTTCTTTCGCAGATTTAACAGCTTTGAAACAAAATTTTGAATGTATTCGTTGCTCTATTTTACAGCCACTGCTACCTCTAGAGAAATCTGTAATGTTTATTCCTACGGGACGCTCAGACATGATATGGACACCTCTTCCGCACTTCATTGTTCGCCCACGATCATACGTGTGCAACTTACGACATCATTTACCGAACTTTATTCTATGTACAAAAAGTAAAATAAATGCAAAATGACTAATGACAATGCATGGAAAAACCACCGCATCTATATCAGCGTTTGAAATGTGGGAAAAAAAGAAAGAGCCTTCCAGCACTTAACCGTTTACGTGCAAGTGATCATTTTACGATAAAAAAATTTTTCTTTCAGTGTGTTCTATCATCCATAAAATTTGCCACATTTCGCACACCTGAAAACTATTTTGACTTCGCAGGAAAAGAGAGGGTGATGCTGAAATTGACTAAATACTCACCTGATATTGAAAAATGAATTAAGGAAAACAAAGGCAAGAGTATCGTTATTTGACTAATAAATCTGATCAATAATAATGAAGGATTAATTAACATTTCATTTTAAGATACAAGTTTTAACGTGATTCAGAATTGTTATGTAAAAATGTGATATGGTGTTGGAAGACATGCCAAGTGACTTTGCAATATTATTTAAGTAAAATATTATTAAAAGACTGTCTGCACTGTCTAATGGATTACTGTTACCCTATAGTATCTAATATTACAAGGAATTTTCTCCTTCCTTGCTGCATCCCGCGAGCGGGCTGGCTGCATGGGCGTTTTCGTGGTTTTCCCCATGTGTAACGTGTGTACGAGTCAGTTTCCCTCAGAAAGTCCTCCACGAAGGCATCCCTCCCCCTTAGGCAGACAGCCCTCGTGTGCTTTGCCATAATTAAATACACCAATGCACCTTCCTTGCTGCATGTAATCGTGGAATTATTGGAAGTACGTCCAGCCAGGCAATCGGAAAGCAGGGAGCTCGAATCCCTGCAAGCGTTGTGGTTTTTTTTTGGGGGGGGGCTAATCGCTTTAGAATGAAGCCCAGCTAAAAGGTAGTGGATGATCATTTGTCGCTAAGTAGATTTGGCAACTGTCTCTCCCAGTAGCCCTTTAAATGGGAAATAATGTAGGCAATTTTCTTCTTTACTAGCCTATGCCTATGTGGTGTTTGTTCCTGGAAGCATTTCCAGGAGCCAGCCGAAAGGTCCGAATCCCGATCAGGGGGGGTTCATGTTTCTCGCCCCAAACAAATAGCTTAATTGCTCTGCGACGTAACTGCAGTCAGCTGCTCTCTCTATTTTTATTTCGATGTTTATTATTTTGCTGTTTGTGTGCGATTCTGATATTTTTCATGAGAATGATAAATTTATTACTGAAACAAGTACACCTTATAATTAGTACTATATTGTCATTTTTATTAATAAATTATATACTTCTGTAAAAAACAATACCTCAATTTAGTTTTGATTAAATAGAAATAAGTTGTGCGTTTCGTTTTATTCAAAAAAATTTAATTGTTTTGTTCAATTTTAGTACCGTAAACATAAAAACAAAATTATGTTTATAGTTTTAAAAAAACTGTGCAGGAAAAATTAATTTTGTTATTTAATTTTACTTAAAATGTAAATAAACCGTATGTGCTGAAGCAAAAACAAAAAAAAATTAATTTTTCAGTTTTGATCGGAAAGTGGTTTTATGTGAAAGACAACCTTTTGAAACAACGCGCTTTTGAGAAGATTCGAGAACGCGTTTTCGTTAGGTAGCAAGATTTTTTTTCTTCTTTTCTGTGTGTGTTGTTATTGTTGTTGTTGTTTCCCTTTGAGATAAAACACCTTTGCTTGTTTTCTTCCTTTATTATTTTCTAATAAAAACTGTGTAAAATATTTAAATAGTTCAGCATAAAGGAAAAGCAAATCCAGCTGTACTAATAAAGCGGGGAAGGGGAAAAAAAAAAAAAAAAAAAAAAAAAAAACATGGAGAGAATCCTGCCTTACACAACTATCCATACACCCTATTTATTTACAAGCATCATTTCGAATCTTATATGTGTTTTTGCGCGTCTGGTAGCGACAGCCGTTCGCAGACAATATTCAGTTTTGCATTGCTTAGTGTTTATATTGTTTGAATTTAAAGCTGCACAGTAATCATCTAAGTTTTGCTTATTTTCAGGCCTGGGACCGTTTAAAAAACAGACCCCCTCCAAAGACGCCGGCTGACTACGTGAATTCTAAGCAAAGATTAAGAGCTGCTTTACGAAATATGAGAACGATTGAAGAAGTGTCAGCCACTGGTGGCTACAGAAAGTACCGTATCAAAGGTAAGACGTACATTAAGGTTAATAATTTGGCAAGCCATTATCAGAGCTTTATACTGTGAAGATTTTATGCATATGAGTATTACGCATTTATGGGCGCAATGAATGCTGGGCAAAAGAATCCAGAGAAGAATAATATTTTTGGCTTAAGAAACATCTATAATCTAGCGCCTTCCCATTTTTGGCATTACGTTAAGTTACTGTACAGAGACATTAATCACGTTTTTTTAATTTCATCCTAAGAGAACCTAAGAGAGAGTACCTGCCTGCGGCAGAAGATCTTTCATTATTTTTAAGTCTTTTATTTATTTAAATGTTAAAATGCCCTTTTAAAGCAGAAAAAACATTGTTATTGACTATCACTGAAGGAAATGCTTTTTTGTAGGTCAAATACAAACATATTATTAGAGACACACTGCTAGCCATTAAGATTGCCATATCATGAAGAGAAGCAGTTCGCAGTATCATATAGCCCTGGGTCATAAAGAGCCCTGGGTCCAGCAGCGGTCGAGCGGTAAAATCACTAAATACTACTTTCTCTCCGAAGCTCGAATCCTGGCGAATGGGCTGGCTGGAAAGGCGTTTTTGTTGTCTTCCCCCGTGTGCAATGAGCTAGTTTCTATCAGAAAATCCTCAAGGAAGGCGTCCCTTCCCTTAGGCAGATAGCGCTTTTTGCGAAAATCAAATAAACCTATAGTGCTTGCCAATAGTGCTTTGTCATAATAAAATAAACCAAACCGTTGCAAGAAAACCATGAAATCATTAAAATTTCAGATAAGTTTGAAGTGCAAATCATGCAGAAATGAAAATTTCGAGCATTTGTCTCTGCCTAAAAGCAACTGTTATAGGGCTGGTCATGAAATCAAATAGACTTTGGATGACATTTTCGGATAATGCCACTCCACGCGGGCTTCATTTCTATGCCAGATTTCCTTTGTGATCTTGGCTTGAAGCCATTGTCTTATAAGTCCTTCTGAAACCATTGATCACATATTTTCAGTTGGTAAAAGATCTAAAGAAGACGTCGTCCAAGCCCTGTGTATTGAGGAAACATAGGAAAAGAAAAAGAAAGGAAAAGTCCTCCCAAGAACTCCTTCCTTTCCTTAGGCCTCGAGTGTTTTGTCATAATTAAATACACCAACCAAACTAATCGTTGCCTTCTATGAAAGGACAGACAGTTTACATACATGCATTCTCCAGGATTCGAATCGGGCCCTTCGGCACCGCCGTCAGAATCAATAAGCACTTTCCCGTCTGGGCGACTACATGCACTACATATTTTTTTAGTATTTTCTCTATCTGCGTGTTTATTTCATGGGCTAAATTAGGAATAAGACAAAAACTAATTAAGCAATTAATTAGCAAGGATAATTAAGATCTTAGAACTTCTTTCATGGTGGAAAATATTTCTAACTGGATTGAAAAGATAAGAGAAATATAAAATAAAAGATTGAAAACCAATAGCTCAATAGTTAAGACAATGCATTCGGTTTGCCTTCTCGCTAAAAGTCTGTACACGAATATTATCATGTTGCACAAACTAGGAAAGTTAATTTTAGAAATTCATCCCTTGTTGCTTTTCTAAAAGCTTGCCAAATACTATTATTATTTGTTTAAGTAATATATGAAAGATCAATCCTTTGAACAGAAGTCCACATAAAATGAAATGTTATTGAATCCTCATTATTTTACCAATTTGTTTTTTCTTCTTTACAGACATGCAAGACATAGAAGCTACGAGATGCACTCCTAAAGAAAATAAAATAAAAAGAGAAATCAAAAGTGAAATTACAGAGCGTAAGTTCTTGTGAATTTGTTTCCTCCTAAATTGTGTTCATAAACAGCATCAGCAGCGGATTAAGACTTTTACAGACTTTAAGAGCTTCGAAGATTGGGTGCGCGCTTTGAGCGCTTCGAAAAAATATGAAAAAAATACTACTATTATTTTCAATAATATATTATTTGTTTCAAGTGGTATATGAAAGACAAATTCTTCTTAAAATGAAATGTTACTAAATCCTTATTATTTGAACTTTTTTTTTTTTTTTTTTTAACTTTTCAGAATTGAAAGACATCCAAGGGACCTGCACCCCTAAAGAGAAAAAAATAGAACGAAAGAGTGAAAATGCAGAGAGTAAGTTCATGTGAATTTTTTCCTCATAAATTGTGTTCATAAGCAACATCAAGGCCGGGTTAAGACTTTTAGAGGCTCTAAGAACTTGATTGATTTTTTTTTGGGGTACCCCAACCATATTTTTAAGCCAATTTTGTTTCTTCATTCCTTCTCGCTCTCACGATTTTGTTTTAACTGCACCATACTACAGGAAAACAGGCAATGGAATCTTTTTTGGTATCCTCCCCCTTTCCTGGATGCCTAAGGATCCTTGTGTAGTGTCCCCTTTCCTTTGATGCCCTAAACACGTGCTTATATTGTTTAGTCGTTAATCCAGCCCTGAACAGCATACATACGTGAAATTCATATTAGCTGGAAATTTTTTATATTATTGAAAAGAAAATATCTTTTCAACATGATTTATAGAGCACCACATAGTCTATAGAGCTAGAAGTGATAGAGAGGTAGGCTTCAGTGCTAACGCTGATGGTCGCTAATGTTCACAGAAATGGTGGTTGCTTGCAGATATGTTTGGCTTATGAAGATTATCGCGAACACGGCGCCATGTAACGATTTTAGTAAGAATTGGCACTTGCTTTGTTATGGGTTATGCCTTTTTTCGAAAGTGAGCTTTTGGAAAATGACCATTCACACTGGCCGATTTCTTCACTATTTTCGAAAAGTTCACGTGAAACTGATAGCGTGGAACAAGCGCATTAAAATTCTGCTTTGAATGTTCCGTACTATGGAAAGTTCTAAACAGTTTTAAAGAGTAAACAAACATGACGCCATGTAAAGGTTTTAGTAAGAACTGTTAGCGGGGAGACATGAAGTTAAGATGGGTGAAGCCATTTGCAAAATGAAACTGTGTAGAAACATTAATATTTATTTTTTTTGTAATAAAAAGTATAAATTCCTGTCTTAACGTATAAGAGTTCCACTGATGACGAGAAAGAAACAATGCCGACATGAATTTAAGATGGCTAATACAGGCGCAGCCTTCTAATACGAACGCCCTGATTGCAGACCACCTGAAGTGGTTTTGAGAAATCTTATGGAGACAGTGACCTTTCTTTTATTTTAAAGGTCAAGTCTGCAAAATTTCATCAAGATCGGAATAAAACCGCAGAATAATTACACCTTCACACACACAACACAATTTCCTTTATATATGTAGATTGTTATAATGAATCCGACTAGTTAAGTTCATGGGTTCAGCCAGTAAATATTAGTTATTGAAAAGAACCTGCGTTTATTGCTTTTAAATCACTTCGTTTGTTAATTAATAACAGAATAAATTTGAAAGAAGAATCGAAAGTTCTTAAATTTTGTTGAACGACAACATACTGCCGGGTGAAAGATAAAAATGTTTTAATTTTGCCAGTGACGTATACCCTCTGTAACAACACACTTCTTTTACATCGACGGGTTTTCTGGTTAAATTCGAAACATAAATATCTTCTACTTTGCAGAGTGGCAGCACAAATAGTAATCAATAAACGATGACTGATGACGCACATCTTTATCGCGTTATATTATAGATAAGCTATTCTCAATTAGAGGTACGCAACAGAAAAATAGGTGGTACGCAAAGAAACAATGTATTTTTTAACTATTAAATTCAAAGATTAAGTACTCCAACATCATGTTTAAAGTTTTTTTTCTCTTCTAACACTTGTAAATTTATGCGATCTGAGCTTTTTTCAAGGTCAGTAGCAGCTCATAGACATTGGGAAAATAATCCGTTTTTGCTTTCACAATTATTCCTTTAGCCATAGACATAAAAGAATTTATCTTAAGTGATACTTTCAAAAAGAGTAATAGAAATGGATGTTGTATTTAACAGGAAATAAAGATAGTTCCTATAAAAAGATAATATTATCTCATTAATTCTTTTATAGTTGATTGATTTGTTAGCATGTCTACACTTTACATCGGCTTACTTCCGGGCTCATGTTGCTCTATTTTCCATTAGAATCGTTTTTTTTTTTTTTTTTTTTTTTTTTTTTATCTGGATTTACTGTCTCTAACAGCAGGTACTTTGTCGTCTTGTTACTTTGTATTCCTTACGTTTCTAGACAGTTTGAGAATATCATCGTTTGGTTTTGAAAAACTCGTAATATAGTGTGCATTTAAATACTTGTGAAAAAATAACAAAACAAGTCTAGATTTTCAAAATGGAAAGGACAGATTGAACGGAAAAATTATGATTCACAGGTGATAGATCCAGGATAATCTACTAGCACCAGAAAAACTGTTTATAGAAAATATAATGAAAATTATTTATCATTTGGATTTACTTGGAATGGAGATGAAATAGACCATCAACCTCAATATGTTTGTTGTTTGCGGTAAACTATTTATTATCCAATCAAACTAGGAAACCATCATTTCTTAAAAGACATATTGAATATAATTATGCCAATTTAAAGGATAAATATGAAGAATATTTTAAGAGGAAATTAGTTCAAAAGCAGTGAACAAATAATAAAAGAGTTTTGTTATTTCAAGTGAAAAAGCTTTGGAAGCTAGTTACCTAGTAAGCCTAAGAATTGCCATGACTGGCAGGCTCACACTATTAAAGAAAACCTTATATTACCAGCAGCTAAAGATATGGTTTTAACATTATTCAACGAAAAAGCAGCTAATGAACTAAATCATATTCCGTTATTAAATGATAGGTTAAGTCAACGAATTCGTAAAATGGCAAATTCCATCAAAGAGACACGTATTCAAAAAATAAAACACAGTGAGTATTTCGCAATGCAATTGGATGAAAATACTAATATAATGAACTATGCTCAATTATTAGTTTGCATACGTTTCAAAGAAGATAAACGAATTGCCGAAGGGTATTTATTTTGGAAATCTCTTCGTGATAGAGAACCTGAAAATAAAATTTTCTAAGTTGTAGAGATATTAGGATTTTTGGAAGCAAGAGAGATTGAAAAATTAGCAAAGCCTTCACCGGGACTCGAAACACGGATCTCCGAAATACCGGCTCATTGTGCTGACCACTACACCACGAAGGCACGCTTGGAAGGAGATAGAAATACCTTATAAAGTAATTGACAGTTTTATGTCTGTAAATGATTTTCCTTGGAATAAATGCATTGTCATATGCAGTGACGGAGCTCGGGCTTTAGCTGGAAAACATTCCGGTGTTATTTCTCAAATAAAGAAAGTCGCACCTGAAACTAAATTTACTCACTGCTCCATTTCATCCTGAAGCTTTAGTAGTTAAAAGAATCCCCGAAAATGGTTTTGAATCCAACTGTGAAAATTGTTAATTTTATTAAAAGCCGAGGTTTAAATTCAAGAATATTTATGATTTTATGCCAAGAGATGGGCTCTGAACATGAAACGCTTTTGAAAATCCAGAAGAAATGTTTTGAACAGTCATTTTAAACTTCGATCAGAAATTGATTTGCAAAAATGTTTATTTAGTGAATTACAGTTGGCGAAGTTTAGCATATTTAGCTAATAGTTTTGGAAAGTTAAATGAATTAAATTTAGGATTACAAGGACAAAGTGTTAGTTTGTTTTGTTTAAAGATAAAATAAATGCAATGATAAAAAATTCGAGCTAATAATCGAAGGACTGGATAATAATATTTAAAACTTTTTACCACTTTTAGAAAGTTTTTTTTACGAAAAATAATTTGAAAGTAGAAGAAGAATTAACATCCGACATTAAAAATCTTTTTTCTTCGATAAATAATTTCAACATGTACATTATCGAGGACTGTGAAAAAGAAAATTTCATTAGAAATCCATTTTGTTCAAACGTACCTGAAATTTTATCTCGTGAAGAAAAAGAAAAATTGATAGAAATTTCCTATCATCGAACTGTAACTGAAGATTTATATTAAAAAAAAAAAAAAAAAAAATGAAAAAACACGCTTGTTAACGTTTGGCTGAACTTGAGAAAAAAAAAAGAATTCTAAAGGCATTTCAAATAAAGCTATTAAAATTTTATTGCCTTTTCGAACAATCTATTTCTGCAAACAAGGATTTTGTTCCATGTTATGTTTGAAAAATAAATACAGAACAAAATTAAAAATGGATCTTAATTTACGGTTAAAACTAAGTAAAATAAGACCGGACAGAAAAATATTGATCTCTCTTAAACAGGCCCAAATTTTGAACTAAATTTTATAGCTTAAATTTTGATAATTAAAATGGTAACCAATTATTTTTATGTGCGCATGTTTAATACAAATAGCCAATAGGTTAAGCAAATGACAATATACTATATTAATACTTCTATTCAGAAATTGGAAAAATAATCATTGCAAAATGTAGTGATGGTACTAAAGTTTGCGAATTTCTATTTAGATGGTAAGTGTAAGTCAAAAGTTGAGAACCGCTGTTATAAATTGTTGTATTATATTGGAATAAACTGCAATTTCTTATAAATAAATAGTTATAGCTTTTACAGAGTTTTTGAATTCAAATGTTTAGAAAACAGTGTTGGAGAATTATTATTTGCACTTGAATGCTCTATCTGTGCAGATATTTCTTGTTTGTTTGTTATTATAGAGAAGATTTTTAATGTGTCAAGGTTTGAAATAGTTTCCCTTATATTTGTTTTCTCTTAGCAGCAAAACCTGGCTGCAGTTTTTGGCAAAACGCAGATGATGAAAAAAATCTTCCAAACCCTGAACGTAAGAACCCATTTTGTCCTTGCCCTCTCCCTTTTCTCTTTTCTTTCTCCTTTCTCTTTTAATTTTTACCTAGAGATGATGCTGTGTTTGCATTGCGTAAAATGCAATCCGAAAATTCTCCGAATTTTCTGTTATTAAACTATCCACCTTTGTATCCCAGGTTCCACGAAGGCTTTAATACAGAATTTGTTTAATAAAGAAACCCTTACCCATCAAAGATCTCAAAGACATTTTTATTCAAAGCATGTAATTTTACCAAACAAGATGAAAGAATCTCACATTCTAATATACGTATAAATTTTATGAATATTCTTTTTTGAACAAATATAATCTGAAATTAAATATTGTTGCCACTCACAAATAGCATTAATAACATAGTGTTTGTATTTATATAAAGCTATATTAAAAATAAGTAAAATAAATAAATACTTATATTAAAATAAATAAATACTTCACAAGCAGACGATCACACAAACGATAACATCCTCCGACCTTCTGACTATACATTATAATCATATTATTGTGCATTATGTTTTTAGATCATTTTGAATACAAATAAATGGCAACAAAAATTCTAATGTGGACAACACAGGACGTTTGTGTACAGCCTATTAAATTATACACATTTTCTGTTGCATTTCATTTAAACTTATTTCCTTGAATTTCATTAGAGATATATTTCTTATTCGGTTAATTCATTTCTAACTTAACGGCAAAGCAAAAATGCATAAAAACTAAAAACACCTTATTTAAAAATGATAAAATATAGAGAAACATAAAACACCAAATACACTAAAAGGAAACCAACATTTTTATAGTTAAAATTAGAGCTTCTACGAAAAAAAAAAAAAAATCCTGTTTAGCCAGCAGGCAGAAAGACAGATTCGGTACACAAAACTGAAAGTTTACTTTTGGTCCTACTCGGAAAAAAATTCACTGAATTTGGTGCAGAAACTGACTTGATTCACTGTTCTACTAAGAGTTTCAAATTCAAACAAATGGCGGCCGGCTTCGTTAAGCTTAGCAACGCATAAACAATTTTTAAATTGTTGATATTCTTACAACTATTGAATGCAGATTAACTAAAGGCATGAAAACATTAACCGGAACATAAGAGCAACATAATTCAACCCCTTTTAAAACAATTTACCAACATATAAGAATTAAAAAACTGGGCTCACTGAGGCTGGTAACAGAGTGGGTGTATATATTATGTATGCTTGATGCAGCCGATTGCAACCTAAAAGGGAGATATACAGCTGAACGTTGTAGCAGTCCCATATACAAAATTTCAACGTCCTACGGCTACTCGTGTTTGAGTTATGCGAGATAATTCGTACGTAAAAACATTGTTCAGATAGATTCGAAAGCTATCAAAATGGATATTTTCGTTGAAATATGATACCCAGAATTTCAGACAAATACTCACCAGCTCTGTTCTCTAACTATGTATGCGAGAGTAGTTGAATCGCTTCTTTAGAAACGTTTTACATACTACTAATTCAGTGTTTCAAATACCGAATTTGTCAATTTTGCATCTATGAAGGCAGCTAAAGTTTCATACGGGCAAATGTTCCGCTTTTTAAAAAAGCTACTCTGGATTTAGCAGCAAGCAGTAATAGGTTGTAAGGATCCTAAGTTTTATTAACGTTTATTTTATTTTAAAACTGTACGATCACTTCTTATTTTCTACTTCCGGCCAGAATTAAATGCTTTAACTTGTTTATGCAAATTGTCTTGCTAACGCCCAAGTATTTAAGTTGTGGTTTTTTGCCAAGAGAGAGAGAAGGAGTTTTAGGAAGCAAGCCGCTTGCCACTGCAGTTTTACGAACTTTCACTCGGTTGATGGTTGCCTTTAAGGCCAGAGGTTTAGTTAGTCCTTGATATTTGCAAACGTATTGTAGTTTCAGCAGCTCGGCGTACTACATACGTAACCCCTTTTAAATAAAGGCCAGTCTTAGTGCTAGGCATTTGTATACTAATTCAAAGTTAGCTTTTAATTAGAGTTTTAGTTAGTAGTTTTATATTCTTACGTTCAGACCACAAGTGGTTGGTCTCTGTATTCCGAAATTAGGAAGTGCCTGTAAAGTATTGAAAATAAAGGGTTTCGTATACCCTTCCTGCTTGTGTCGTCTGTTATACACAAATCTTGAACATAGCTTGAGTAAGCTCCCTGTTCTTATTCAGGGCATACCATGTTTCCAAAGAAAATAAAGAGAAATAGAAGTCCTGACAACGTTCACCGAATTTTTCTCTTCTGATCTCAAAAATACTACAGCAGCATAGGCATCTATCTTTGATAGCATCACATAAAATGTGAATTGTTCAGTGCTTCAGATTTACTGCTATAACATGAATCCATCTGGAAATATAAATTTCTTCCACGATTAATTCTTGAAACCAGTGAAAGAAATCTTTCCTCAGATTACCAGTGATTTCTGTGTTCCATTTCACAGTCATCTTCCAAGCCTTTCGTAGCATTATAGGGACAAAGCATAACTGAAGCAGTATATCCGATTAGATCAAAACCTTTAGTGAGCTACTGAAAGCATAACTCGATTATTTATCTTTATCTTCTCAAGGTTTAGTTTTTTATTCCGGCTCACATTAACCTTTAAAAAATCCAGTTGACGATTGCACATCAGGCCTAAGACAAGTGTTTTCCAATCATGTTCAATTTTGTCTCCTCCTGTATATTCCTACTGGTAGGAGATCAAAACCGCCTTTTGACACTAGCAGAACTGAGCGCCACCAGAGATGACCACTGACTTATGTCTTCCGGAGTATCGTAATCTTGACAGATGGAAGACCTGAGTATGAAAATAGGTGGCCTTAATTATTTATGATTAATCAAGATTTACGGAATACAGGACCTACAAAAAATTCCGATTTTGTATCAAAATACCTATATTAGAACAACGCAATATCTAAATCTAATACGCACTAAGTCTCACTTTCGAGACATGAAAAACGCAAATCGAATTTCGTCAATCGGCCCAGTAGAACTGCAGATATAGAACTGTCTTCTTCTTCTTCTCCCCCCCCGCAGTGTACATCTTTACCACATTATATTATAGATTTATTATATTGAAATAAACTGCAAATTCATATAAATACATGTTTATAGCTTTCACAGATCCTTTTGAATTCAAATGTTTAGAAAACAGTATTGGAGAAGAATTATTTGCACATGAATGCTCTGTTGCCTTTGATTTTTTTTATTCGTTGTTATTATTGAGAAGATTTTTATGTGTCAAGTTTTGCAACATTTTTAAATCTTTCATATCTTTGCAGCACAACCTGGCTTCAGCAATGACGAAAAAAAGCCTCCCGTCCCTAAACGTAAGTTTACATTTTGCTCTTCCCCCTTCTTTGCATTTCCCCCCTGTTTTAAGTTTTACCTAGATATGGCACTATGTTTGCATAGTGCAAGATGCAATCCGATTCTCGGAGTTTTCTGCTATTAAACTATCTGCCTTGGCGACCCAGCGGCCATCTTGAAATTTTGCCTTCCTGGCGCCGATCTTGGCGTCAAAAAAGAATCGCCAAAAAAATAAGGAGCACCCAATTGTAAACTTTTACCCAAATATTAATTACCATAATAAATAAATTAACAAACTTACCGTTGCTTTCTCTCGACAAACCTCTGGTATCCAAGAGAAAAATTAAATTTAAAATCTGCACAGAATTATCGCCCTCATTTTTTCGAGTGGCAACAGTGCTGATATCAGCAACAATCCCAACAGTGATATATCAGCAGCAATGGGTGCGTGCCATTGTTGCTGATATAACGAGATCGATTTGATGCAATTTCATTAAAAAACATAAAATAATAAAAAAACTCATTTAAATTTTGAAAAAATCGCTTCGAGGTGCACTGGCTCTTGTCTAGATGCACATATGTACTAAATTTCGTAGCCCTGAGTCTATTAGCTTACGCGCAGCACGAACGAAAGACACACACACAGACAGACTCTTCCTTTCATTATATATAAAGATAAATCATTTCTAGAAACCCATTTATATGTAAAGAAATTAAAATCTACATCAGACACTGAAACTAGTAAATGGGTTGATTTAAGTTATCTTAGATAGACGAAATTTCATTTAAAACGTAGACAATCTTGAAAGTTTTTATGTATAGATTATCTTTTTTGAAAGGTAGATTTATCATATTTACTATATTGATAAAATTACCTGATAAATTAACTTTTATAATTATTTTTTCCATTTTCCTTTATAGTTGTGGTTGCTCTTAAAGGGAAAGGATATGTTTGTCTACCAGAAAAAAATAAATCATCGCCTCTGGAAACAGAAATTTTGGATGAATTGATATTAGCTCCAAAAAGTAATTTTATTTTGATGATTAATCATTGAAGACTTTTTCGAAATTTTTGCATTTAAGTGTTTTTAATCAAATGATCATCTGCAAGATAATTGAGCATTGTATTATAATTTAATGCTAAGATGTTAGTTTTTTTTAATTACATTTAACAATTATTTGCAAATAATCGAAGTCTAGCTCTTTAGTCGATAAATATTCATTACTAAAAATTAAAAATTTCGAGAATAATCGGTTAGATACATTTAAAATCCAGTTTTTAATAAATTATCTAATAATAATCTGACCACATTTTCTATATGAAATTTAAGTAAAAATTAAAAAAATTGATGGAAATTTTGAAATCTGTTTCATGCAAAATGTATTCATATGCTCGCATGTGTTTTAGAGTTTTTTTTAAATTTATTTGTGAAAAAGTGGACTAGTTATTAATTAAATTTAATTATTAGTTAGTTGTTAAAGAAAATTTTCTCATAATGTACTATTATATACACTCATGTCCATAAATTAAGGATAATTCGGAGCTACGCGGAAATCGAACTCTAAAATAAATATATCACCTGTAAAATCACTACACACATCTTCAAGAATCATATGCAAATTTCAGGAAGTAACCAGATGACACCAGATGACCTCTTACACTCTCGTCATTGTGATGTACCAGTAACGATGGTACATCACAATACGAGAGTGTAAGAGAGTGATATATAAGGAATACAGGCAAAGAAGTAAAATTGTTCGCAGGCGCTTTATAAGCACAGTGCAATAACCGAATAGTTATGACACAAAGGACGCGCATTTGGATGATTTTTTACGTGGTAGGTAGAATTATCGGCCGTGTGTGTGGAATGTGGGTGGGCGTACCCAACTGGAAGTATCAGACGAACTTGGAATTCCCCAGAGTGTCATCTCCAGGCTTTGGCAACGATTCCAAGATGATGGTAATGTGAGTAAACGTTACAGCACAGGTCGCCCCAGAGTTACAACGCCGAATGAGGACCGGTATTTGGCAGTTACTGCCAAAAGAAACAGGCGGAGCACAGCCTCAGACCATTCTCGTCAGCTCTCTTCAGCCACTGGTACGACAATTTCAAGGCAGACTGTGTACAGACGTTTAGGGCAGATTGGTCTATATGCTCGTAGACCTGTCAGACGCGTTCCACTTACTGTAACTCACTGTCGCCTGCGGTTAGCCTGGAGTAGAGAGCATGCATTGTGGACACCGCAATAGTGGGCTTGTGTGATGTTTTCCCACGAGTCCAGGTTTAACTTGCAGTCTGATTCTCGCCGGTCTTTCATATGAAGAGCTCCAGGTACCCGTTACCACCAAGAAAACATCATTGAACGACACCGTAACGGTGGTGCAGGAGTGTTCGTTTGGGGTGGAATTATTCTGGGTTCTAGAACTGACCTGCATGTTCAAATTGGAACCATGACAAGCCAAATCTATCGGGACGTCCTTCTGGAACAACATGTACGTTTGGTTCGGGGCGCCATGGGCGCACAATTTGTGTTTATGGATGACAACGCTCGTCTACACCGTGCAAACATCGTAAGCGAATGCCTTCAATCGGAGGATATCACCCATATGGACTGGCCAGCATTCTCACCGGACTTGAATCCAGTAGAGCACGTGTGGAACATGCTTGGCCGACGAGTTGCAGCCCGTCAACCTCCTCCTACATGTCTACCGAAACTTCGGAGAGCATTGCTTTTTGAGTGGTGTAATATCCCCCAAGATCAGAATGATAATTTGATACTCAGCATGCCTAGGCGTTGTACGGACTGTATTGCATCGTCTGGGAGACATACAATGTATTAACAATCATACCAACCATGTAATATTGTTTTGTTTTTTTTTTTTTTTTTTTTTTTTTTTTTTTTTGTAAATAGGGTTTTTTTTTGTAATTTTCTCCAAGGAGAAAAAATCGCTAATTTTTTTAATAATATCAAACATATAGCATCTTTTTTTGCTCTTTACCTTTTGTTTAATAAATAAGCTTTACAAATAAGTCAAATTTGTTTTGCTTCTAACTCTTCCTTTGCCTGATTTTGCATTATCCTTAATTTATGGACATGAGTGTATTTATTTCTAAACATTTTAACTTGTTTCTAAATTTGTTGGAGAAATCTGTTCAAAACGCTTTTATTATTCAAAGAGTGCTAAAAACAAACTCATTTAAGAATTCGGATGAAACATATTGCTGAAAAGTTTTGCACATGATGATGCTTGTTGCAGTCTCTGAATTTAACTAACAATACATTGCGAAAATTACTGTCCGTAGTTTGAAATTATTATTCCTCTGGCAAAATATTTCAGTAATTTCAAATTTGAAGTGCACGTGAGGAGACGCTACAAAACAAAGCAGCTACAAGTTATATTAGAAATTAAATTAAACAGCATTTTAAAAGTCATAAAGTATCGCAGAAATGCTTAATATAAAGCGTTCAACTGTCTTTGCTGTTGCAGAGCGGTGTATATTGAGGTAAACAGGGTTACCAGATAATCTAGCTGGCCGATGGGTTTTCACGATTTTCTTATAATTCTTAGCAGGTTAGGGTATACATTAAAGAAGCAAGAAACAACAGTCTTGCTTAAATCTTCGAAACATTCGGTTTGCGGTCTACAATACACTTAATAAAAAATATAACAACAAAAGAAAATATCTAATGTAAACCACCACATGACTTCCTTGTACTGCATCTTAAATTATACACATTTTTTGCTGCACTTCATTTAAACTTATTTTCTCGATTTTATTTCATTTAAATTTAATTAACCGATCCCTCAAAACAAGTTGAAAATGATATCAAATAATGCAAATTTTGAAATTAAATATCCCGCTCAATTTTAGTCGTGCGGGAGTCAAACTTCTTGTATTTTTATCATGACGAGTATAAAATTTTCAGAAACTTAAGTTTAAGACTCTGCAGACAGCATTAAAAGTTAGATCTCGTTATTTGTCAAAAATTAATTTTTTATTTTATTTGGTCTTTTCCAAACATGGATATTTCCCACATTTAAAACACTTCTGTAACTGTATATATATGTATGTATATGTAAGAAAAATAAAGAATATGTAAAAGATTAAATTATCAACGTAAATTTCCCTTCTGAATTCTAAAACTAGTAACCTCTCTATCTGCACTACGTCATTTCTAGATTAATCCATGTCGTATGACTCTTACATAATTCTGGTGATGTAAGTGGAACTAAAACTCAATCAACCAATAGTAATTTACAGTAATATTAACTGTAAAATTACTGTTGGTTGCATGAAATCAAAATGCATTGGGAACCAAAACTAAGTCTGAATTGAGATCTTACCCTGAGCATAACGCACTTACTTTCTACGCTTTGGCCTAGCTGGACTGCAGTCTGTCTGTTTCTCCTTTCTTACTGCAAAATTATCTAAAATGTAAACTTTTTGGAATAAGCACAATTAATGTGTCAACTTGTTTGTGGCCACAACGTGTTTGCTGAAATAAAAAATGAATATTTAATATGCCTTCTCCTCCAATTTCATATTCATTATGGATCAACACTTCTAGACCATCAAAATTTCCGCTAGTCATTAGTTCTAAGTTTGTTTCTATTACATTATCAGGACTTGTATTCCTCTTTACTTGCTTTGGAAACATGAACTGTCCTGACTCGTAACAGGGAGCTTACTCAAGCTATGTTTAATAAATTGTGAAGTAGACAATACACACAGGAAGGGTATACGAAACCCTTTATTTTTCTATCTTTACAGCGATTTCCGGAACTTCGGAATACAGAGACCAACCACTTGTGGTCTGAACGTAAGAATATAAAAATATTAACTAAAACTCTAACTAAAACTAACTTTGGATTAATATACAAGTGCCTAACTTTAAGATTGGCCGTTATTTAACAAAAATTCGTATGTTGACAATACACACAGGAAGTGTATACGAAACCCTTTATTTTTCTATCTTTACAGCGATTTCCGGAACTTCGGAATACAGAGACCAACCACTTGTGGTCTGAACGTAAGAATATAAAAATATTAACTAAAACTCTAACTAAAACTAACTTTGGATTAATATACAAGTGCTTAACTTTAAGATTGGCCGTTATTTAACAAAAATCCGTATGTAGTACAGAGAGCTGCTAAAACTACGATATGTTTGAAATTGTCAAGAGGACTAAACCTCTGGCCTTGAAGGCAACCAGCAACCGAGTAAAACTACTATGGCCTGCTGCCTGCTTCTAATAACTCTTTCCTCTCTCTTGCTTGGCAAAAAGCCACAACTTAAGTACTTGGCGTTAGCAAGACAAATTTGCATAAATAAGTTAAAGCTTTTCTGGCCGGAAGTAGAAAATAAGAAGTGATAGTAAAGATTTTAAAATAAAATAAACGTTAGTAAAACTTAGGATCCTTACAACATATATATATATATATATATATATATTCAATTGCAATAAAAACATTTCAAAATTTTGCATAAATTCAAATTGGCACTTCTTCGTCATATTATAAGGGATACGCGTAAACGTTTATCTAAAATTTAATTTGAACTATATTCAACCTTCCATTTAAAAATTGCTAATTCGACTGTAAATTTTTCCTCATTTGAACATACATCCTGGTCTAGAACCGATACCGTTTGTCAACGGCATAAAAATGTGCTTACTTCTAAATTCCTTAAGCTCACACACCAGTCGAATAGTCCCACTTATCTAGCTAATCTTCTCACTGTAAACGTTAACCTCATCGTTAATATCTCCAATAAGAATCTTTCGGAGGATCAGTTAAAAGTATTAAAATATAATTTCAATTTTTCAAAGACATCTAAACCTTCAATTCCTCAAATCCTCGCCCCTATAGAGAAAGCCTATTAAATCTCCAAAATTTCGGAAACGCAGGAGGATACAATTCGCCACATAATTAATCATAACGTTAATTTTAACAACAAATCTTTGGGTTCGAATCTTAGCAAAAAGGAAAATGAGATCTTACGTGAAATTCATTCTGATTGTT